GTGGTCTGGCGTGTGACCATGGACAGCTGAGTGGATAATAATGTACTGATTAGCAGGTCCATCACGCGTCGTTGATTGGCCGATTAACTAAACCGGCTTACTCTAATCCGTCTGGCATTACTCTGATTGAAACAGATTAACGGTACACCCTGTTGAGGGTTACCTGGCTCGGTGATTAACTGTTCTCCAAAAGTATGACTTCGAGATTGCTCTTCGTGAAGACACATCACATTGTAATGCTAACGCACTCTCGTAGGAAATGCCTAAGGGAATTGCAAGGATTGTATTTTAGGTTCAAGGTTTTAAGTTGTTATCGATAAGGAGTTGACGGTTCAAAAGACCGCTGGAATGCAAACTGGTCGGTCCGACGTGAGAGCCACACTTCATGTGCCTTTGATGAGGCAATATTACACCCGACTGGCGTACTATAAAATCCAAACTGATGGTTCAAAGTATTTGAATGAAATGCTAGGCCCATGGCCAGACTGGTTTGTTCGGTGGATAAAGGAATAAATCCTAAGGGGCGTATGGTGTTTAGTTGCAATAGTGGAATTGGTCGGTTAATGTGAAGCACTAAGAGCATGGTTTCCAGTTTACATGTGTTTAGTGAGGAAGTAACCCATCGATTGTTATTATGGAAGCTAATAGAAATACTTGCTTTGGGTCAGAAAGTATTTTTTATATAAAAATATAGGTAAAGTATGCTGTAGTGGTTTATTGTCCTCGATTTAAACTATTTGATTTTTTATCCAAAATAACCTGTGTGGCCATTGTTATTTATGAAATGGGAGATTTTTCTTGGATCTATGCCAAATATGGTTTTTAAAAACCAATTGTTTGTATTTTATATTTCTATTGGTATCAGCCAAGGTTCATTTCGTTGAGGTATCAGATTAAGTCAAAGGATCCTTGAAGTTCCCGAGTATGTAAGGGACCTAAAAGAAAGTTGCAGGGGGAGCCCAAACCTGCATAGGGTCGCAATTTTCGGGGGGTTGGCTAAGTTGTTACTACATTTGTTTTCTAAGAATCAGTCGAACACCTTGTTCTATCTTTTTCTCAGCAGGTAATTGTTCTAAATGGCAGATGGAAGAGTTCCCTTTCCTGGTAATCTGGCATTTTCCCCAAATTATTCCTTGTTGACATGTTATTAATAGAAGGAAACGCACTTTCCAATTCCTAGTTGGCATATTATGTAATACAGAAGGAAACATAAGCTATCCAGGTGAGTTTTTTTTTGTGCACATTTGCAAACATCAGTAGTGTTTTTGATTTTAAGATACTGGGACAATGAATAGTAATTAAACCAACTTGACTCATCTACACTAGAAACGCTACTGACTGGATCCCCATTGTCTCTTTCTTCTTTACCTATTCAACAATTCACAATTTGAATACAAGTCCTATCAGGTAACACAAATATGTTATTCTTCAAACGTAACCGGTAAAAAAGGAAAGAAAACAAATATGATGAACTGATCAACAAAGCAAAGAGAAAAGCGCCAGAGTTAAATAAGATTTTTTCTCAGAGAATTTTTATATTTGAATTACTTCTATGTTAATAATTCTAGATATAATCAAACTCTGTATATAAATAAACTCTATGTAAATAATTCTATATAAATATACTATATCTATGAATAAATGGTTTTATAAACAATTGAATGTAAATATATGATATATGACTGTTTGGTGATTATATGGAGTAGAATAAGTAAAAGTAATTAAGAATTATGTTTTAAAAATATAAATGTAATGATAATGAATATCACAGGTAAGGCTGAAAAGAGAATGGTTATAGTAGCACCCCATCGGACCTGACGCCATCTAGGTAAACCGTAAACGTACTATAACTCTGTCCCCAAAAAGAATTCACATATCTCACGTTCTGGGCCCACCCTGAAAATCTTCGCAAATCGCTTGATGATTCTTATCTCTTGCCGTTTGTATTCTCGGAAATTATGACATCTCCGAGGTCTCGACAGTCCGTACTTTATGACGAGTATCGGTTTGGACCGTCCGATGTGGTGTATGACGATATCGATCAAACGTCTCATCGCTCGCACCTGGTACAACGCGTCTAAATAAACAGTGCCAGTCTCAAAATGTGATTTTTCTCTGTTTTTGAGTTTTGTCTTTTTTTATTTTTTCGATTTCAACTTCAAGGGAGAAGACTCGTACGAAAAAGAAAACAACACCTGTCCAAAATACTGTTTGGTCTTTTATTCTCGATCTAAAAACCAAGCGTTTACTTTTCTCAAAGGACTATACTTCCTTTATAACGCCTTTCCCAAAGCCTATAGTCCTCATTTAATCGATATTTTTTTAAAGATGAGAGCTTAATTTTTTTTTAAATTACGGCAAGTGTTTTGGGTACAAATTTCGGAATAACTTAATTTAAACATCGAACTTTTCGAACATACTTTAAAATTCAGACAGTCTCTTAAATCTACTTGCAGCTAAAGTTAAAAATTTTGTATTTGTTAAAATTGCCAGATATATTGTTTGTATTGTGATCTAAACATACAGTTACTCCATCTCTCCGATGCGAGGTCCGAGGCCCCTTGAAATTAGGGCGCGAGCCAACGGATTTCAGATCCTCAGAAACCATACTGAACTCATTACCCTATCTTCTTCTATTATTATATTAACATCTGCTGACAATGTTTTCAATTGTCGACATCTCATCTGAGTCAATTTCAAGACAACCCAATGACAGGTTTAGCGTTGCTTAACCTTCTTTTAAGCAATAAGAAAACCACATTCTGGAGGAAAAAGTGCTGGAGAACGATGGGCTTCCAATTATCTGTTGCAATTCTGACACGGGCGATACGGTGATGGAAACCAGCATGTCCTGTTATAACCGATATCGATGCATCTTCTATGCTCTTGTCATAAATATGTCCTGAATTGTGTAATGGCATGCATCAGTTGGCATGGATATATTATTGTATCGCAGAATGAGTTTCTGTGGTTGGGGCAGTTGTATAGGAGCATGGTGTTATATATTCATGTTGGTCGGCATAGTAACAATGAATTTATTGTTATGTCGATGATTTTCTCGTATCACGAAGTGTTTTCGTCATTGCTTTCAGTTGAAAAACCTTTTGTAGCGTAGCATAGCGGTTTCTACATGTTTTTTCTGTTTATACATCGATAAAATAATGCGGTGGGTCTATGTCGAAAACGTACCAGAACGTCGAAAGTTCAGTTGGCAACTTTGGACCTGGATGAATAACATCGTTTAACTATATGTCTCTACAACGCGCAGCAGCGTGTTTTCAGGGAAAAATTAATTGTCATTAATACTTATATCATTAGTCTGTTCGTGTACGTTTCAAGAATTGTCCCACCATCCAAGTCCGCACTGAAACAAATAAACTCTGCGATTTTCAAGTTTCTATGGAATAACAACTTTGAACTCATCAAACGTGACACCCTTCATTTAAATCCTGAACATGGTGGACTTGGGATCCCTAATTTAGACCTAAAAGTTTTGGCAATGCAATTTCAACAAATATCGCAAGTCATAATTGACAATCAAAATCCGTGGGTGTCACTCTTTAATTATTGGCTCGGAATTCCTCTTAAAAATACTATTGATTTCAATTTGGCACATTCACATACTTTATACTACCCTTCAAAATTCAAAATACTACTCAAAATTCAAAAAGATCACAACTTTAACCTTAGAAATTTGAAAAAATGCAAACAGATATATCAAGCACTTCTTGCCGCACGCACTGTTAATTTAAAAACTGTTACTATGCACCCCTTCATAGATTTCAAACAAACTTGGAAAAATTTATCAACAATACACTCTAGTAAAGAAAAAGATTTCCTATTTCTCTCTCTGCATGATGCGCACCCCACAAAGAAAGTTTTATCAGCACGTTTAAGGCACCTTATTACAACTTGTAATTACTGTAAATATGGGGTAGAAACATTACAGCATATGTTTTTAAATTGTACAACCATCGAACCATTCCGCCACTTTGTAAATACTTTTATAAATAACTTTCTCTGTACCTCCACATTCTCTATCTCTGAAACTTCTTAATTTCTTAACACTGACCCAAAATTCTTTCCTTTTATCTATACTTTCACTTTCACTGTCTGGCAAAATAGGAAATTAAACACTGCACTTCTAAACGACGAACTAATTTACAGATTTTATAAAAATTTTAAACGTCAATAACTTTTCATCCTTTATCTTTCAGCACAGCACCACTTTTCTTTTTTCAGCATAAATTATAGGTAATATTTTAAAATAATTTGGTATGTGTTTCTCTTGATTACAGGTAGTAGATAATTACCATTATTTCTTATTTTTGCAAGGAGTTCGGAAGCGAACGCCCTGCTTTGTTTTCGAATTGATTTTTTGCAAGGAGTTCGGAAGCGAACGCCCTGCTTTGTTTTATTTTTTTTTTTCGTCCACGGCAGGCCTGTTTTCTCGGAAACGGCAACAGGTACGGGAAAACGGACTTTGTGGCGTTTCGTAACTCGTGGCTAATCCCAGCTTAAAT